AAAATCTTCAGTACTTTAATCTTGCTTAATTGATATTTCTTTCCGCTGTTTTTGATAAATTGGCTTAAGTGTTGAATAATGGTCGGGCTTGCCTAGTAGTGTGTCGGGCGCCATCACGACCGGGATTTGGGTCGTGACAGTAAGACTGGTAAATACTGAAGTTCCAATACAATTATACGAGTTACTTGTTGACGAGTCAGACGAAGCAAAAGAGTTCCGTCGAAACATTAGAGCATATAATAGTATATTTGCATTTACGTCTTTTGTTGTTAGACTTGACAAAGAACTTGCATCTTCAAGAAAAGGAGTTTACACCTTTAAGGCACAAGGTCAAATTTATCACGATCTTCCATCATTGCTTCCATGTGAGGATAATCCATGTTATTTTCAATTATATTTTTTGACACGGACAATGAATTATGCAATCGGATTTCAAAATTGCAAGAAGCCAACTTATCTGAGGAAGTTGTGACAAAAATTAGGCAGCTAATGGATGGGAATCCTTATGCACAATTCTTTTTCCAGCTAAAGGATCATTCAAGCTTCCAAAATTTACAAATTCGAATTGCTGCCAATGCTATACTGGATCAACGTGTCTACAACAAACCATCAGTAGATCAAATTGCTGCAATTTGGATAGATAGAAACAATCCAAATGTACCATTCGATAGAGAGATTATTGTTCATGAGCATTCCAGCAACAAACATAGAGTCAAACATTATTATGGTTGCTATGACCCACTCCAATATCCTCTGCTTTTTCCAAATGGAGAGGTTGGCTGGCACCAAGGAATACACAAATATAAATCAAAAGGAGGTGCAAGTACATCTGAAGTTGCCAATGTAAACCAGAATGTCCCAACATACACGTCCGCTAATGAGGCGTTTCACAAAGAGGAGCAAGGTAAAATATTGCAATTAAATTATGTATCACTTTAGTTTTCTTATTTGAATATTAACTACACTAACAGATACGACTTATTTTTGTAGAGGTACGTCGTGAATCTAAATCATGCGTGTCTTGTAGAGAGTATTATTGCTACAAATTTCAAATACGCAAAGGAGAAAAGACAATACTACTATTGTGCGGACGGTTATTGCAGCAATTTGTGGTTGACATGTACATAAAGTTAGAAACAACAAGACTTGAATTCTTTAGATTAGAGCAAGCACTACTTAGAAGGGAAATATTGCAAGGTATAGTTGATAGTATCATGGCTGGAGAATATAGAGGAGATAAAGTTGGCCAAAGAGTAATATTGTCGGCACCATTCATCGGAGGCCCTAGAGATATGCGTCGTAGGTATATGGATGCAATGGCTTTGGTTCAACATTTTGGAAAACCAGATTTATTTATCACAATGACATGTAATCCTGATTGGGCGGAGATCCAGGAAAATCTATGCGAAGGACAACTTGAACAAGATAGACCAGACTTAGTGACTAGAGTTTTTAGGGCAAAATTACAGGATTTAAAGGATCAGATTTTCAAGAAAAAAATATTTGGTCCTGTTGCGGCACATGTCTTCGTGGTTGAATTCCAAAAAAAGAGGTCTACCACACATACACCTTTTGATAATACTTGAACAAGGGTACAAAATAACATCAGCAGACCAATATGACAAGTTTATTTCTGCGGAACTTCCTGATGAAGAAGAATATCCACTCTTGCATGACTTGGTTGTCAAGCATATGATGCATGGTCCATGTGGAAAACATCGTCCAACAAATTCATGCATGAAGGATGGTCAGTACAAGAATCACTATCCTAGGCCATTTAGTAATAAATCAATACAAGGAAAGGATGGATACCCTATTTATAAGAGAAGAAATGATGGAAAGATCGTAAATGTCCGTGGCATGAGAATGAATAATCAGTGGGTTGTGCCATATAATCCTTACTTACTAACTAGATAAAATTGTCATATTAATGTGGAGTCTTGCTCTGGAGTGAAAGCAATCAAGTATCTCTATAAGTATATATATATAAAGGGCATGATAGGTGTGCTGTTTATATTGAATCAGATGATGGCGAAAAAGTAGTTGATGAAATCCAAATTTTTCAAAACACACGTTGGGTGTCTCTGCCAGAAGCACTATGGAGAATTTATGAATTTAATCTCAGTGAAATGCAACCTCCTGTCATTACCCTTCAACTACATCTCCCGGATAGACAAACAGGTAAATATTTATCTCTAACAAGGTTAATTAAAACTTTTGATGAAATAAATAACTATACAAGTTTCTGTGAAATGTCAATACACAGTGTGCTATTAGAGCAAGCAAAATTTGCAAAATGTGATTGCGTGAGAATATACGATGCTAACCATGCTCACGGAGTATTTTCGGACATGCTCGAGGGATACTAAAGCACGACAATACCTATATAAAGAATTTCCAGAGTATTATGTGTGGAACTCACAGGGAAAGATATGGACAAAAAGAAAAACAAGATCAGTTATTGGTCGAATTGCTACTGGTAAGATGATCTATCTATTCTCTTTCAGATAAATCTTGATGAAATTAATAATTTGAAACAATATTAGTCTTGTAAGATTGGGCACTTTCTGTTTGATAAATTAAAACAATTAAGGCATCAACCAAATAATACACAGTCTANGGATTGGACACTTTCTGTTTGATAAATTAAAACAATTAAGGCATCAACCAAATAATACGCAGTCTAGGATCTGATATAGAATATCAAAAAACAGAAGTCAGGGGTAGAAAATTCACAACATAAATGTGAGTTTCAGAATGTAGCCAATCCTAAACCCAAATAAAGGAGGAGGGTAATGACAGGCTGACGCTAGCGGAAAAATAGTCAAAAGTATAATGAAGCTGTGATTTATAGTCCGGAAACAAATGCGAGTCCTTTGGAACTATTTATGCAAAATAGAATAGGGCCATTACTTAAAGTTCTAATCAATAAGAACAAGAATCAGTAGATCTAGATAGTTTTTTTCGGGGGTCCTATTCCTTTTACTGCAATATGGCTATATAGCAGTCTATAAGAGTTCATCATTATTTCTTAGAGCTGAATCCATTAGCTTCGTTACACGATTGATTGAAATAAAATAGGACACAATGACTTCAACTATCACGACCCAAACCCCCGCTCCGGTCGTGATGTCGTCTCTCGTGAAGACAAGGCCAGCCAACAAACCCATATCGCCTTTTCAAAAATAGTTAAACATTAATAAACAGTTTAAATATGATTTAATGATATTATTAACGGAAGCACAACCCGATACAGCCCTAACCGGGATATCATAAGTCATGAGCATCTACTAGGGTATAAATACAACTGAAAGCCTGGAGTGTACAAATACAGACTAATGAAATGAGGAGAGAGAAAAGTAGTGTTGCGAACGCCAGCAACTACCTTGCTAAACCCTGATGACTCTGCCTCCGATCAGCCAAAACATACCTGAATCTGCACACAAGGTGCAGGGAGTAATGTGAGTACTCCGACTCAGTGAGTAATAATAATAAATAAAGACTGAAGGCAAGAAATCACGCAAAAACACAAAGTATTCCATACTGAAGCAGTAAAATCACTTTAAACAGTAAAGCAGTGAGAAATCAAGTGAAAATCCCTTCTTCTTTTTTTCCAACAAGTAAAGCAAGTAGTTACAAGTGAGTAACAAAAATGATAGAAAAGTAAACAGCCCATCGGGAAAAACATGTACAACAAACCGCCCCTCGGGCATAATATCAACAGAACCAGCCCCTNTATATGGCCCTCAGCCTCACTCAGTCCGAAAATCACCACAAGCCCCTTGGGCATTTGTAAAACAGTAGTTCTCAGCCCAAAATGTCATTTAGAAATATCATTTGAGTTTCAAATCTATATAAAAGTGGTTGAGTTTGTAAAACAATAATCATCAACAGGACTGAGTTTAAATATAAGTCAAAACAGTGAGGAAATAGTGATAAAAATCCCCGAAGGGTTCAAATAATTGGCACGAAGCCCAGATACGGCAATCAGCCCAAATCATGATGATAACAAATCAGTTTCAATCAAATATGCAGTAAAATCATCAATACGGGATGGACCAAGTCACAATCCCCAGTAGTAAAGGACCTTGCACTCATCATCCAGCACGTGTCTCACCTCAATATAGCACTACAATGTGCAATCCGGGGTTTCAAACCCTCAGGACATCATTTACAATCATTACTCACCTCGAACCGGCTAATTCTCTAGCTCGCGATGCCTTTGCCCCTTGAATTGACCTCTGAATGCCTCGAATCTAGCCATAATGATTCTTCAGTTAATAAAAATTATAGGAATTAATTCCATTTGGAATTCTACATTTTCCATCAAAAATCCGAAATCACACTCAAAATTCGCCCGTGGGGCCCACATCTCGGAACCCGGTAAAAGTTACAAAATATGAAACCCCATCCAATTAAGAGTCCAACCATACAAATTTTACCAAAATCCGACAACAATTCGGTCTCCAAATCTAGAATTTTCGTTTTTGAAAGGTTTACAATTTTCTCCAATTTCTTCCATTTGATTCACTAATTCATGATGAAAATAACCATGAAATCATTAAATATAATCACTTTTGGATATAGAACACTTACCCCAATTCATATGGTAAAAATCGCTTCAAAAATCGCTTCAATCCGAGCTCCATAGCTCAAAAAAATGAGAAAACTCTCGGACTGCCCGAATTACACACTGTCCAGAAATTTTCGGGGTACTGTCCATACGTTTTTACTGTGCATACATTTTTACTGTTCATTGAGTACTGCTCATTGTTCACTGTACACGGTACTGTTCATGGGGTACTATTTACGGGGTACTGTTCACGGTACTGTTCACTGGGTACTGTTCACGGTACTGTTTTTGTAATTTTCTGCAATTTTTCCTAAGTCCGAAATCACTCCGAGACACCTCCGAAACACTCACGAGCCCTCGAAGCTCCTAAACAAACACATACACTAACTCAACAATATCCTACGAGCTTAACCGTGCGATCAAATCGCCAAAATAACGTCATATACCGTGAGTTAAGCTTTAAAATCCAAGAATTCTTTCAAATTTCATAAAACATCAAATTTTCCATCTTGAGTCCGAAACACGTCAAACGACGCCCGTTTTCAACCAAACTTTACAGAAAGTGCCTAAACTATATATAAGACCTGTACCGAATGCCGGAACCAAAATACGGACCCGATATCATCACTTTCTAATCAAATTTTATTTCCATTTTCCTTAAATATTTTCAGAAAATAATTTTACTCAAAAATTTATTTCTCGGGCCAAGGACCTCGGAATTTAATGATTCTTGTTCCTATGAGTCATAAATAATGATATAAACATAGTCCTTCAATCGAAACTCAATTCGGAGCTCGTTTGCTTAGTGCGATACCCATTTTACTCGCTAAACAATTAACATATGATTCGGGTGAAAAACCCAATCGCGACTTGATGAAATTAGACCAAAATTTTAATATCACTCCTATAATTCATTATCAAAATTCCGGAAGTCTCGAAATCAAATTTCGATCTCTGTAACTAAAAATGGACCTTTAGATCATTACATGCTTATGCTCAAAACGGCAAAATCTTCCAAAAACTCTTCCAAAACTTATCCGAGCCTCATGGGACCCCGACCAAACATGCCAAATTCATAACATCATTCAAACCTGTTCCAATCATCAAAACACCTCAAAAAACATCAAATTACCCAAAACTCATCGAATTCAAGCCTAAGTTTCCAAAAACTTCCGAAATACACTTTCGATCAAAAACCCGACAAAATGATGTCCGAATAACCTGAAATATTTGACACACATCACTAATGACATAACAAAGCTACAACAACTCTCGGAATTCTATTCCGACCCTCGGATCAAAATCTCCCATATCAACCGGAATTCGCCAAAATACTAACTTTGCCAATTCGAGTCAAATCCTTCCACAGACTTCCAAAATGCATTCCGATCGCGCTCCTAAGTCATAAATCACCTAACGGAGCTAACCAAATCATAAAAATTCCGATCCGAGATCATATACAAACAAGTCAACTCTTGGTCAAACCTTTCAAATTCAAAGCTTTCAACTGAGAATGTTCCTTCAAATTCATTCTGATTTTTCCTGAAAACCAAAACTAACGATCTACATCAGTCATAATATGTTACACGGGGCAAGTCATGCCCGAGAACTGGCGATCAAAGTGCGAAAGTTCAAAACGACCGACCAGATCGTTACATCAACTAATGCCTAATCTATTTTTGGCATATGGCCGAGTTGAAGTTAACGTGATGAAGATACTAAATGGAAAATATTTTTTGTGCTGCAAACAAAAATAGATACAAATGTGTATAATGCAAAATTATCAAAAACTATTTGCACTTGTCTACAGCAAAGTTAGAAGCTGGTGTTATACGTTTCTTGATAAATATATTTCAATTCTTATCAGCTAAGAATATTCTAAGGCTTCAACAAGAATTCGGAATCCAACATGTTTAAATAACGACACTTCTTTTAAGTAAAGAAGGAATATATTTTGGCATCATTCATTGACTTGGCTACATTATACTGACAGTCTGCACCCTGTTGTATTTTATCTGGATAAATGATAATGATTAATCTTAACAGTTAATATAGAATTTTACTCAATGTTACAGCTAATCCTAGAGAAGGCGAAAGGTATTATTTGAGATTATTGTTGAATCACGTCAGATGACCCTTATCGTTTAAAGACTTGCTAATTGTTAATGGAAGAGAGTGTGAAACATTCAAAGAAACTGCAAAGGAAAGAGGTTTACTAGAATCAGACAACAGTATTTCAGAATGCTTACGTGAAGCGGTCCTCTTCAAAATGCCATCAGCGTTGAGAAATTTATTTGCAATAATTTTGGTTCATTGTAATCCAACGGACATTAGGAAGCTCTGGGAAACCTATTACGAAGATATGTCAAAAGATTTTAGAAAAATACATGACAATTCTCCTGTTGCTCAACTCCAATGCACATTGAAGAGCATCAATTATTTCTTAGAGAGCATGGGCAAGAAAATTGACAAGTACGACTTACCTAAACTTGATTATGGAAGGGATAATGGTAATGTATCGGAATGCAGAGAAATAATCGAAGAAAGGTCTATAAATGTATCGTCCGAAGATTTTGATGCACAATCAAAACTAAATCCTGAACAAGAACAAGCTTTCAAGACTATATTAGAGAGAGTCGACTCTGGCAGAGCGGGATTGTTCTTTGTGGATGGACCTGGAGGAACTGGAAAAACATTCCTATATCGTGCATTGCTTGCAAATCTCATATCAAGATGCATGATAGCTTTAGCAATGGCAACAAGTGGTGTAGCAGCTGCAATTTTACCCGAAGGTCGTACAACTCACTCTAGATTCGACATCCCTCTTTAGACAACTGATACAACAATCACAAATATGTCAAAATAGAGTGGTGGTGCTAAATTGATAAGAAAATCAAAGCTAATAATTTGGGATGAAACACCTATGGCCAATCGTCAGACGATTGAAACCATTGATAGGAGCTTCAGAGATATAATGGATATTAATGAACTCTTTGGTGGAAAAGTGATGGTCTCCGGAGGTGATTTTCGTCAAGTACTACCAGTAGTTCCAAAATCTACCAGAGCTGAAACAATAAATGCAAGCTTGGTAAAATCATATTTGTGGAATAAAATGGAAAAGATTCAATTAATAAGAAATATGAGGGCAAGAGCAGATCCAACATTCAGCGATTTCTTACTACGGATCGGTAATGGAGAGGAACCTACAATAAGAGATGATATGGTCCTTCTTCCAGAAAAATTGATCGTCAAACATGATGGTGATAGTACTGGTGAAGATAATTTAATAAGAGAAATATTTCCATCTCTAGATGAAATGTCAAGTTGTGCAAAATACATGACAGAAACGACTATCTTGGCTAGCAGAAATGAGTATGTTGATCAACTAAATGAGATGTTAATTGCTAAATTTCCTGGTGAAAGCAGAACTTTTTTGAGTTTTGACTCCGCAGAGGATGATACCAACAACTACTACCAGGAAGAGTACTTAAATACTTTAACACCAAGTGGCCTTCCACCACACAGGTTTGTGTCAAATTGCAATTCTCTATCTTTCTGTGAATTCATTGTGTACTAGATCTGACAATATAAAAAGAATCTCTCGATATGTTTTTAATTGAGATAGATTTATTAAACTTACCGTAATCCTATTATGTATACTCATGCAAATTCATCTTATACAATTTTCCCTTTAGAGTTTTACACAAAAGTTGCATGCGTTCCTTTTAGTTCTAAGAATACTCAGTTCTATTATTGAAGTCAATATTCAAATCTTATAGCAAATGTAACATTCAGGATAGACAAAAAAATAGAAGATCATTCTGAGAATTGGGAATTATATTAATATATACTATTACATACAGTAGCTTTATCTTTACAATCTACAATTGCAGATTTATTTGAATATTTTAGAGTTTGCAGGTAATTATTTTTTTGTGTGAATGGTGTTTTTTTTTTCTTTTTGATTTTTCTATAATTTCTAAAATATTCTGTTTGTTACATTCTACGTAACTGTCAAGGAAATAAAGACAAAGTAATATACTTCATCCTTAGACCCGGTAATTTTTGCGTTACTGTAATAAAGTATGTTTATTTCTCTGTCGTCTTCCTTGTGCGCCTTTTTATACTCAAAATCAAGCAGAAAAATGGACATCAGGGATGAATAATTCTAACTATCTTGGTGGCTTGCAAAGCAGCTAAAGGAGTTAAAAAAGAAAAAAGAAAAGAAAAGAAAGAGTATTATAAAATCATTTAGAGATAACCTGAACTTCTGCTTGTTATGTTTAAAGATATTATTTGTTGTTTGATAGGTTGGTTTTAAAGAAAAATGCTCCGATCATGTTATTAAGAAATTTGGACCCGGAAAATGGCTTATGTAATGGTACAAGAATTATATGTAGAGGCTTTGACAATAACGTCATTCATGCAGAAATAATGATGGGCGAAAATGCTTCCAAACATGTGTTTATTCCCAAAATTCAACTTTTGCCTCCAGAAAATGAAGGTTACCCTTTCAAATTCATCAGAAAACAATTTCCAATACGGCTATGCATTTCGATGACAATAAATAAAGCACAAGGACAAACAATACCTAATGTGGGACTGTACTTACAACAACATGTATTCTCACATGGACAACTATTTGTTGCGCTCTTTAGGGGAATTGTGAGTACGTGATTTTTGCTTTAACGAAAACTACTCCAAAAATAAATCAAAAAATAAAATAAAATACATATTGCATGCATATAGGATT